TTTATAATAAGTGACACAGATGTTTCAAACACATGCATCAGTGTATTTTCATGTTACTAACGACAAGTCACATTTGACCAGATGGAAAAGAATTTTAAAAAAGAAAAAAAAACAACATTGGATTTTATGCAAATGTCCACTCAAGCTTCTTCAGCTGACCAAAAAAGATTCGGAAAGGTTGAGATTTTATCTCGGAATACAGGGAAGGCATGCGGCCATAATTCTCCTGCAAAATTGTGAGAAAAATCTACAATGCAGCTCAGCCAATCACTGAAGTTAAGAACAGGACTATGCAGAGACGAGCGACACGCCATGAAAATAAAGCAAACATTGATCAAAACCAGTTCATGAATAGAAATGTCAAACATTCTCAATCAAAACTACTTGTCACTATCAAAGGACGATAAAATATAGGACAAGTATTGGCCTCAGGGGCATGATATTGCCGGGAAGGATTGGAGAGATACAGATATCACTTTACAGTCATACCTGTGCCAAAGTCAAAGAGGTAGTCTAGAACTTGATCAATCTTTCAACTCAGTATACAACCAACCACGACTGACAAGCTCCAGGTCTTCCCAACAATTCCGCCTGAATCAACTCCAATGTATTCCCTCACTGTGATCATACATGCTACAGTGCAGCCTCTCTAGAATGACATCTCTCTAGAACGACCTTCGATATGGCGACATCCTCTCTAGAACGACCTTTTGTAGTAGAGGGTTTTACGGCTCTCACAACTGTAACGACCTTTGATAGAAGGACATCCTCTCTATAACGACCTTCGATATGACGACATCCTCTCTACAACGACCTTCGGTAGAACGACATCCTCTCTACAACGACATCCTCTCTATAACGACCTTCGGTAGAACCACATCCTCTCTACAACGACCTTCGGTAGAACCACATCCTCTCTACAACGACCTTCGGTAGAACGACATCCTCTGTATAGCGACATGGTGCCCAGGTCCCGATTGTTTCCCTATATATCAGTAGTAATTTTTGTTTGCCTCTCTAGAACGACAACTCTCTGAAACTAAAACGACAACTCTCTGAAACTAAAACGACAACTCTCTGAAACTAAAACGACAACTCTCTGAAACTAAAACGACAACTCTCTGAAACTAAAACGACATTTTTTCTGGTCCCGATGATGTGATTATAGAGAGGCTGCACTGTATATCCTGAAATATGGAATGACTTCAATTTATTTTCTTCTGGAAACGTAAAAATATAAACCATGATCAATCACGTAAATTCAAAATGCCACACAATAAAACAAATCCCCGAGTGACACAGCACCTCACAAGTTCACTTTCAGTTTTAGTCAAAGTTTTATGGCACTTGCAACACAATAAGGTCATATATGTGCTGAAGAATAGCGGTGTTAAAAGAGAGTATGTTGTTGTTTTCAAATCCCTTTAGCTGTGAGCATTTCGCTCTTGGCAGCGCAATGCCTCCTTCAAGTAAGCACTTGTCCTTGTCCTCTGGTCAACGCAAGATACAAGAGAGTAACAAACACAAAAAGACGGAGGGGAGATAAAAGCGATAGATGTTTGATGGGAAAGAAGGAGTAAACCACACCAGAACACCCGCCAAACACCCACCAACAATGACTGCAGCAATTATTTCTAGAAGACCGTTTGTTCCGAGACACAGGGTGCGGCGACACACACACACACACACTCACACAGTTTCTGTACAAAGCACACACACACTCACACAGTTTCTGTACAAAGCACACACACACTCACACAGTTTCTGTACAAAGCACATACACACACTCACAGCTTCTGTACACACACATATAGCATCTGTACAAAGCACACACACAACAGCTCCATCGATACTCGTTGATCCAAAGTTCTAGCGAAACCCTGACAACCTGAATGCTGGTGTTACATGAGGCACAAGACTGATTAAAACCACACAACAAGAAGTTAGAACCTACAGTAAGGAGACTTCCCCCCCCCCCTC